TCGAATCTGCTGCATATGCCTGTCACGCTACCAAGGCGCTACTTCAGAGACCACGAGCCATCAAGCGCGGTCGTATCAAGTCGATGTGTCGACGCAAGCAGCTCGACGAAGCGGCGACGGCGCAGTTCTTATTCCCGTTAAAGCTTCGACCGCGTGCCGATCCCAGAGAGACCGGCAGAGGATCAGACGGGCAGCACAGTGGCCCGATTCGACCTCTGCAGCAAGACGAACGCACCAGCTGGGTATAGATACCACGTGTGTTCTGCCTGGCTACTCGGACGCGCCACCCTGAGCCTGCGTCTGCTGCGGACGGAGGCGTCGTGGCTTTGGCGAGGAATCTGACCGCCTTGCAGGTGACGACGACGCGACAACCAAGCGGTTTAAAAGGCTCGCGATGGTCCACAGTGTCTTGCTTCAGGTCGGTGCGTTACGGACGCTCACCTGGGTGCGAGCACTGACAGACGCGAAAGCAGATGGGCCCGCCCCCACCACACGACCTGGGTTGCTCAGACATCAATCTCAGATCCCTTGCACGACACGGCCATCGTAGGAGCGAGTCCCCACGTCGTAAGAGGCTCGTACGCGCGGCGCTGCCAGCCAGCAAGGCGCTAGCTCCGAAGCTGGACCCACCCCATGGAGGCCAACCATGACGGACCAGAGAGGACGCACGTTGATGATGGGGATGTTGCGCAACAAGCTACTACTTGCGCGTTCTCTGCAACCTGGGGTGAGCTCTGGGGGGAGCTCTGGGGTGGGGGCCGTTTGCATTCTCGTTTCGAGGGACCCACCGCCGACTCAGACTGGATTTTTTCTGCCCAGGACCAAGACTCTACCATGGTTTGGATCGCCAGAGGTCCGTCGGCCCAGATACGAGAGCATTGCAAGCAAATTGTGGTGGGAGCTCTTGGTGGGGGTGCGCGCATACATGGCTCTGGACCATAGTCATACGACTACGCGTTGCTCCAGCCATGGTAGGCAAGTAGCCATCGGCGCGTCCACTCTCCAGCACACCCATATCTTGTTCTTCACAGTCATCTTCTTCCTCCCACCACGTCCAAGCTCTAAAGAATGGATCCTTCACAAGACGGCCACGTACGGCCGCGTCTGAGCAGCGATCGGATCTTGGCGCAGGAGGATCCCACCACGATCAGAACACACGCCGTCGTCTGAGGACCGCGTGATTCGCACGGCTGATGACGCAGGGACCGTGCCATGCTCTTTTGGGAGCACCTAAGTGTAGTAGGAAGTATAGAAGGACGACCTTGGTAATCTCAATGATCTGATCGCTGGGCCGACGCAGCGCGGGTTGTGTAGGATAACACACGCGATCAGATTTCTTTTCTGCTGTCTACGACGCGGGCGTTGGCCCCTTTGCAACGAGCCGACGACGACCACAGAAGAAGCGCGTGCAAGGGAGGATTCACACCATCGCCTTTTTTGAGCATCAAAGAAGCCTCTGAAATATTTCAGAAAGTTTGGCGTAATTAAGGGTGCTTCAATCGCTGAGATTCTTCTCACAGATCAGGCGTTGGGTGTGCTGAATATCGCGCTTCTCAGTCGAATACAGTACTTGTCTGCATCCTGGCGTCGACTGGTTAAGTCCTTTAATCTAGATTCCTACAATAACGGACGACACATCAGCAGCTCACGCCCTCCTTCGAGATCGACGCGCTTTGAGCCCCACGCGATGATGACTCGGACTCTGCTCGGCCTCGTTCACGCGGTCGGTCGCCTGGTCGACGGAGATCTGATTCAATCGTTCTGAAGTAAGAGGTGACTCTGGGTCGGAGACATACTACCAAGTGACTCCATGCCTCAGAGCTCCTGAAGCGACAGCTGCCAGAACGTGCAGAGGACGACGCTATCGAGTTCCTCTTGCGATCCCGTCGCTGTCATGTGGTCGTGCTGCTTGATTTCGCGTGTCATCCGGATAACGCATGGTGGGATCAAAGTTGGCATTAAAGTCACCACATTCATGTATGTCGTAAAAAACAATCGCCCTAACAGAAGCGCACATCCGGATAATATAATCTAAACGAGGACCCGACGTGTCATGATCGATCCCAGATCGATACCAGATCGACACCAGATCGATACAGATCGACGATACCAGTCAGTTTCCGAGATAGCACAACGCAAGCACTTGATAGCATGTTGAGTTGAAACTACAATTGGTCGTCGCGCCTAGTTGTAGACCATGTACTTGGGCGTCGACGAGAACTTTTGGTAGCCCTTGATGACCTTGTTGACCGACTCGAGAAAGTCCTTCTCGCTCACCGACTTGCGGCGGGCGCGGATCGCATACATACCGGCCTCTGTGCACACACTGCGGAGCTCGGCACCTGCATCCATCCATTGTCACCACAGCACGACCAAGATCTGATAGGGGTACCCGTCGTGTTGGGGCAGAGGCGCGCAATGAGCTCAAAGCGAATGTTGCGGTCGCAGCTCATGCTCTTGGCGTGGATCTGCAGGATCTGCGTGCGGCCTTCCAGCTCCGGCACGTTAAACTCGACCTTCCGGTCCAAGCGGCCCGGACGCATGAGCGCCGGGTCCAATGTGTCGGGTCGGTTCGTCGCCATGAGCACCTAACGACAGTCAGGCGCAAGCGCAAGGACACGTCGTACCTTGATGTTGCCGCGCGGGTCGAAGCCATCGAGTTCCGTGACGATCTGAAGCATCGTGCGCTGGACTTCGTTGTCGGTGCCG